TGCACCTTCTGCTGCTGGAGCCAAGGATGAGCTCAGCTGCCCTCCAGCCGTTGCCTTGGGCTCTTCCAACCTAGGGGGGCTGGGGCCCTGCCACCCTGAAAACTCTTGGTCACAGTCTCTTAGGGAGGTACCTTCCACTGCATGAACTTCCATGGTCCAGAGGAAGGGGGTTTGCTGATGGACCAGCAATGGGGGTCCATTTTAACCCACCCCACCCCTCCAAGGAGTGCCCCCCACCTTCCTCCACCTTCATGAGCTGTTGAGGTCCGAGACGTATCAACTCTGCCCTTCCCTGCAGGGAGGCGGGCACTCTTGTCTCTGGAGCTTCTATTCCCATAAACCGACCCTTCATTTTTCATGTGAATCCACTTTAATTAGAAAGCTCAATAATGAGAAGGAAATATTAAAATTTAAAAAAAAAAATCCCTACACAAAGCAAGTTTGCTTGTGCTGGCCACCAGCTCCCAGAGCCAAGGCCCAGAGTGAGAATGGCACCACGCCACTCACTAAAAGCATGAGTGTCACTAAATCAATAATTCATTTACTTTAATGAGATAAGTACTTTGAAAACTAATTGCAAACCTGCTCCATTTACTCCGACCCGTTATAGCCCTTAACGTAAACCGCAGAACCATCGCTGTGGGAAGGAGAAAGTCTTTAGGTGGAAGACACCACGTCATCTCCCCCTTCCTCCTAAGAAAGAGAAAGAAGTTCTGGGGTGGGGGGTGGGGAGAAATGTGGGAACCAATGGCTCCGTCCCTCCACCTGCCCAGTGCCACACCTCCCGCCCAAGGGGTGATTTGCCTCCTTCCACTGTGAGAGGGGGTCATCAGGAAACCAAAACACAGCAACACCCCATGACGCTGGGAAGTGACTGTCCTGGGGCCTCCGGAGATGCTGATGGTCCACTGTGAGCCCTCAGCCCTTGGGGGCTGCACACAGCTTCTCCCTGGAGCCCCGAGCCTCAGGAGGAGCACCCAGTTCCAGAGAAACCCATGCAGGGTGTCATGTTCAGCTCACCCGTGGCACGTGAAATCCTGAAGATCCCCAGTGTGGCCGCCCCAGCCTGCAAACCGGGGCCCAGAAAGGCGCTCCAGCTAGCTGGGGCAGTGGAATCAGGCAGTGCAGCCTGGGCTGAGCTGCATGCACCCCCAGCAGAGCCCGCTGGTTTGTCATCAGCTGGGGGGCTGGCGGAAGAGCCAGAGAACCCCTGGGGTCAGGGAAAGAGACCCGAGTTCTCCTCACTGTCCCTGGCCATTGTTTTGGGCAAAGAAAAGCGAAGAGGGCACACTTCTCAGCTTCTTACGTTGAAGAGTTCTGAATCAGCTTTTTACTGTTTTCTCGTCTTACTGAAAATAGATTCCAGTTCCTTAACTTAAGTCCAAGATGGCTTCTTGACGTTTTCAGGGAGAACCCATATCATTTGGAGATTATGCAGAAGAACCTCTGTTTGCTTGGTGGCTTGGCGCCGGGCTGGTCTGGCTCTCAGAGCCGACCTGGTGCAGGGAGCTCTGCACCTGCAGGCAAAGGCGAAGCCCGGGGAGCGGCCTGCAGTGGCACTCCCTCCATGAGGGAGACCCCGGAACTGGACCCTGAGCCTCACAGCCCACTCATCCCTCCTGTACTGAGGCGAGAGCAGCGGGGAGACTCTGGCTCATGCAAAAAAGCCGGGTGGGTAGCCACAGACCACCGTCAGTGCTGCCCTTACGAGTGTGCGAGGCCAGCCCTGGCTCACGGGCTCTGGGGCGGGGGAGGGCGGGGCTCCAGGTGCTTCTCAGGTGTACGGAGCAAGAGCCGGGCCGACCCTTCGAGGGGTGGCACCCCGGGGCTGTGGGAGAGGATACCGTGGCTCCCGCGGACTCCCGCCTAGGAGTCCTTGAACTTGAACTTGATCAGACCATTTCAGCCTCCCTGGGAGGCAGAGGAGCAGCCGTCCCAGCAGAAGTGGCCCCAAAGACCCACGTTCCCGGCTCTGCGCTCGAGGGAGGGCAGCTCTTTCTGCGGCCACAGCTGGCTTTGCAGTTCTACCTCCAAGACTAGCTCAGAAGCAGAAATGTCAAAATTCTCTTTCCTGAAGCGTGTACGGGAGTGGAGAGAGCAGGGCGGCCGTGTGTGCCAAATGCCGTTTTTCTGTGGTTGCACTTCCCTCTCCTCTGAGACACCGACCTGATACCCAGAGTGAGCTAAAGACACGGCCTGGCATCTTCAGACTCTACAGGGGCTGTGCTCTCTTTGGGTTGAGGACAGTGCAGGACGGGGTGGGCACAGCGCCCTTCCTGAGTGGAGTCGGCCGGGCAGCACCTGCTACGGTGTGGAGGGAGGGTGTTCTGGGTCCCCAGGCCCCTGGGTCGAGGGCACCTGCCCGAAAACACGGAGGCATATGGGAAAGGTATCAGCAGGGGAGGGGCCGTCACCTAGAAAGAGCCTCTCCTATTGTTCTGAGAGGCAGACATGCTGCAAATTAAGTCTCATCTGGGAGACGATTCATGGAGGAAGAGGAAGAGCAGAACTTTTAGGGACTGGTGGGAGAGAGAGGCTGCTTTGCAAACTGGAGGGGAACGCTCAGCTGCCACAGGGGTGGGGGGCTGAAAGCGGGTAGAGCAGGGACATGCTAGACGTTTCCCTATGATGGACTGGCAATCCTGTGCTCCCCAGGAGCCCAGGAGAGGCCAGGGCCCAGGTGCAGCAGTGAGCCTGGGCTGCTCTGACCACACAGGTCTGGAGTGGCCCCCTGGACACGTGATCCCAAGCCCAGACAATCTGTGCACTCTGGCAACAGGGCATTTATTAAGAACCCAGCTCTGCCGGCTCCACACACATCAGTCTGGGCCTTCCAGGGCCCTTCTGGCAGCCTGCCAACTCTGCAGGTGCAGTAGCCCTGAGCTGGAGCCAAAGGTCAACAGGGCAGGTGGCCTGAGGGGCCACAGGCTCTGGGAGGGGAGGGCAAACTTTCCAAAGGGCCCTGGGGCCTGGGGCCAACTCGCAGGGGCTTTGGCTGATAGCTGCCAGCTCCAAGGGGCTCATTAGCGGGAGGAAGGCCACCAGCTGCACGCGTAGCTGCTGGAGTGGTGAGGGGGCCAGTGGGGTTGCCCCGACCTCAACCCGCTGGCTGAATGGTGAGTGTCCCAGAGGTTGGGAAATGAGCAAGCAGGTGCAGCAGGCCCATCGCCCATCCTGCCTCTGCCGGTGCCCTGGGGGCAGGGGTGCCTTCCGAAAGCCAACCCTGGGCCTGAGAGCAGGGTACCTGCTGGGTCTGTGCTCTGGATGGGGCTCCAGAGTAAGAACCGGACAAGAGGGGCTTCAATCAAGGCCCTGCCACATCGGGTTGCAAGGCCCCAAGGAAACCCCCTAGCCTCCCTGCACCAGTTGGCTTCCCGCACGTCGGGGCCCAGAGCGCCCCCTGAACTCAGTGCCGATCCAAGCGCTTTGCCGAGTCGGTTCTTGAGTCACCCTCCGGGAGCCCCTAAGAGGTGGGTGTGAGCATCACCCCCATTTTACAGATGAGGAAACTGAGTATGAGGTGGCAGATGGGTGCCTGGACTCTGAGCCCCTTCCTGCTGTCACCCTCCGGGAGACGTGGAGCCCTCTGCAGGGGCAGAACTCCATGGGAACCCCTCCTTGCCGTGTCTCGCTGATGTGTGCAGAGCCCCCACCTCCCCCACCAAGGCCTTGCCCAATCCACCTGCCACCTTGTGTAGTCACCAGATAAGGATGTGCAGGGGTGAGTCAGGGTGTGAACCCCCTTTATCCAGCCTGAATGCCCCCTCACTCCTCCCCACCCACTGCCCAGAGTCGGTCCTGGGGAGTCCCGCTGCTCTGCTGAAGCTCAGCTTCTTATGGGGGGCCCTCCCCACAAAGTGGGCCCAAAGTGCCCAGTGTCCCACACTCCCCACAGTAGATCTAGCGCAGACCTCAGCTCCCACATGCCCTGTATCCCTTGTGGAACCCCCACACGGGGCCCTGCTCCTCCCTCAGCCCCTCAGAGCTAGGACCCCTGGGAGGGAAGAATGTGGGCCCACGGTGGGTGCTAAACAGGGTCAGAGGTGCCCACAGGCTGCTTCTAAGAGTGAGAGGTCAGCTGGTGGCCAGACCTAAGACCCTGACTCTGAAGGGACTGCTGCCTGCCAAGGCCAAAGCTAGCACCCCAAGGACCAGTCCTCTGCCCAGAGAGGCTTGGTCACATCGGGCCTGTGGTGGAAGATGCAGCCGAGCTGGAGCCAGCTTGCTGTCATCTGGGCCTGAGGGATGTCCAATGCCCTGACCACCGGGAAGAGGAGAAATGGCCAGCGGGGTGGCCATTGAAAACCAGGATGTGAGATTTTCAGTCTGCATCATAGATTCATGCTCAGAATAAACCTTAAAGTCCCTCCCCAGCTCTGAAGCCCCACTTGCTCTGGTCTCTTCACCCCCAGACCTCATCACGCTCCTGCTCTGCAGCACTGGCCTTCTTACTGACTGTGGAGCTCTCCAGGCACACTCTACCCCAGGGCCTTTGCACCTGCTCCAGCTTTGCCCCTGTCCCAGCCAAACCCCACTTCCCTGAGTTCTTTGCAATACATTTTCTCACCTGGATTAAAATCACAGTTCACCCCCATCCCCCACCCCCTCCAACACACACCTCCCATCCCCACTCCATGGCTCTTAGCTCCTACAGGCACAATGCAGCTTGCTTATTTGTATATTCTGTTGACTGTCCATCCCCCCCACACCCAGCACAATGTAAGCTCCATGAGAGACTTTTATCAGTTTTGGCCACTGATGTGGACACTTATGTGTCTCTAGAGTCCAAGACAGGGCCTGGTTCAAAGCCAACACTCCATAAATACGTTTGAGTAAATGAAGGAGGAAGCATGAGCACCCATGAAATAATACGCACAGAATTCCTCCCGCTCCCCACCACTCCCAAGCCCCTGCCCCACAGCAGAGTGATGTTAGAAAGAGCAGAATGCAAAGTGAGGAGGGGCCCTGAAGCCAGAAGTCATTGGTGGAGAGATGCCTACCAGATTCCAGAGTCCTCCAGGACTGTGCTTGTCAAGCTCTTGTGTGAGCACGAGTCTCCTAGGAATTTCCTAAAACGGAGATTCGACTCAGCAGGTCTGGGGTGGGGGCAGGGAAGCCAAGTGGCTGCATTTCTCACAAGGTCCCCAGTGAGGCCCAGGGCCCGGGTGATGCAGACACGGCTGGAGACGGGGCCACACTTTGAGTCTGGCTCAGACACCACTTGGGCGGAGAGCAGAATTCTGTTCTGTTCTAAACTGTTTTATTTTATCTGCTCTCCACAGCAACCACAGTCAAGGGATCAAGCTGGGCTCAAAGCCTGCAGTCCCCCAGGCTTCCTTGCTCAGGCAGAGGTCCCCAGAGTGGCTTCCCCTCCTAGTCTCCCCGAGGCAGCGCTTCTCTTGGTTTCTGATGGAGTCTGGAAAGTCGGGGCGGGTGGGGGGGGGCTGAAGGTATAAGAACACCTGTCGTGTTTACACAGTATCTCTGGGGATTCAGGGCCATTCACAGTACTCACACTTTGAGCGACTCTGAAATTCTTTTTCTGCCTGGGCTGCATTCTTAACCAAAATAACCCCTTTGGAAGGGCTCCTCCTGGGTCATGGCTTTGTAAGAATTGCAAATTACATGGTGAAGCCACGGCCAGGTCAGGCCCAGGATGCAGGAACTCTGAGCCTCAGTCCCGCCCCAGAGGCTCCCCATGATCTGAGTCTGCTGAGCTCCCACAGTGGCTGCAGGTGGGACCCTGGAGAGGAAGGGCATCCGTGGCTGGCCCCACGTGCAGATGAGGGGGGACACAGCCCCTGCTCTCAGTTCCCTGCTGCAGGGGCATACGAGCCCTTGTCCCTTTCTCTCTGAATTCTACCTCGGCTGTTCTCTGAAGGAAAATCAATGGGAAGATCTCAATTAATCACATGGGGGCAAATTGATTAGGGTCCTAAATTAGGTCAGTGCTGCTGTCTGCTCAGAGGGTAGGACCCCTTAATCATGGTTTCATTCTTGCGAGGTGGACCACAGGCGGAGTGTAAAGAGCTGTGGGCAGTCTCCATGGGCTACGGAGAGCAGATCCCCCCCGGGCGGCATCAGAGTGGCGGGTGTCTGTCCAGGCCCACTCTTGCGGCACAGCACTGGAACGTATCCCTGCCTGGGGCACAAGAGAGGCCAGGCTGTGACTGCTTTAATAGAATCACCCTTCTCCTTCCCACTCGATGGGCTGGGCGGATGAGTTCAGCAGGTAAGACTGGTTGTGGTAAGCATCGCCACCACCCCCAAGAACTTGCCCTTGCTTGGTCCGGATAGCCGCCACTTGGCTGAGCGGGCTCGGGGCCTTCAGCTCAGGTAGGGTAACACACCCAGGGTCAGTGAGGCATTCCAGAATCCCCAGGGCTCTGAGACGCTCAGCGAGATCCCTCCCTCTCGGACCCAGATGGGCGCTGGGCCTGTCCCCGGGGCTGTGGGAGGCTTATGGTCCCGGACACGTTCGGGCCGGAGTGAGAACTGCAGCAGAGGCGAACGCTCTCATGATTTCTTCCCCATTCCTTTCCCCCAGCACAACAGCATCTTGGAAGGGGGCCAGTACTTTTAAGGAGCAATCCAAGCGAAGGTTGGTACTTTATAGGCACTCTGTAAATTCTATAGCACTTTGAATTTATGTGATTTGTTGGGAACGCTGGAAAGGCAACAGACTTTCCACCGACAGGGCGCCTTCCTTTCCCGGTCAGGTGTTCACCTGTCACGGAGGCCCGGCTGCAGACCCCTGCCCTGAGCCGTGGCAGCTCTGTGAGTGGCTGCCAGGCAGAAGGCTGTTCTGACACTATGTGAGCTACCCTTTCCTTCTTTCTAGGCCAGCCAGGTAAGAGTCACCTGGATGGCAGACAGAGGACGCTAAACGCCCCCACACCCCCCTGCCTGGAACCACAGCTCTGTGAGATCTAGGACATTGCCGACGGCTGCCCAGATCCCCGGTGCCTAGAACAGTGCCTGGCACACAGTAGAGTCTGGTAAGTATCTGCTGGCTGAATGCATGCTCACGCCCTGTAGAGCAGTGAATTGTGTCTCCCACAAAGCTATGTCCAAGTCCTAACCCCCAGAACCTGTATTTGGAGAAAGCGTCTTTGCAGATGGATTAAGTTACGCATCCAGAGATGATATCATCCTGAATTGAGGGTGGGCCTGACGTCCAATGATGGGTGTCCTTATAAGTGAGGGAGATTTGGGACACTGACACCTCAAGACAGCAGCAGCAGCTGGGACAGGCAGGAAGGACCCCGCCCTGTAGGCCTTGGAGGGACTGCAGCCCCACTAGCCCTGCAATTTCAGGCTTCGGGCCTCCAGACGGTGAGAGAGGGCATTTCTGTTGTTTTAGGCCCCCTGTTTGTGGTCATTTGTTACTGCAGCCACAGGACCCTTGCACACATGCTCTGGTCTGCAGCTTAAGCCTGGCAGGGCACCTTTCCTGTGTACCTTCCTGAGGTCACCCTACCTGGATCCTTCTGTCTTACTCCTGGGCCTCAGTAAATATGGGCACGGGTTATGGGCATCTCAGAGGACAGGTGGGAGCTGCTACCCTCCTTGTCGTTTCTTCCTGGACGTGGTCCCTTTGGAGGAACCGGCCCAGAAGGGGGTCTGGAGAGGGTTAGCATTTAGCCATCGGGTCGTCCCTGCTGCCCTGGGGGACCGTCAGCCCAGAAGAAGGCAGGTTTGTGGCAAGACACAAAAATAGCACCAAGTCCGGCCAGGAAGCAGCCCGTGCCGCAGGTGCCCAGAGCTGACTGCGGACCACCTGCTCAGCAGGGACGGTGCTGGAGCAGTTCAGGGGAGAGTTGGGGGCGGACGCCATCCCGGCCAGCATTTCAAAGACTCAAAGGCAGAAGGCAAACAGTTCTGAAGAACAAAACTCCTCACTGCTTCTTTGCCTGTGGAAATGCTCCCAAGGAAACTAGACTTCATGAGGTCGCCCTTAAGTTCTTAAATTTAATGGTGGCTTCCTCCCCAAAGCCAGCCCGGGAGGGGGGCGCAGTCCACGATGAATTGTCCTTAGGCAGTTCTGGGAACAGCTGGCCCCAGGACCCCTCTCACTAATGAGGGGCTCCCTTGCGGTGGACCGTCCTTTCCCTGGTCCCCTGGCCTGATGGGCTCTCAGGCAGGACTCATCAAAGCTTTTTGAAAACCCAGGTAAATTATGTCCACTAGACTGCCGGATGCCTGCCATTTGATTAACTTTTTAGAGGGCTCTGGTGAGTTGGAGAGCCCGATTTCCCTTCAGATCCATGGAGTGGTTTGACCTCATTACCTCCGGGCACACAGGTCTGTAATTTCAGGGTCTCCCCGGCTGATGTGAGCAACTTTCCAATTTCCAGAAGGGGCTTAGTTTCTGAATCCCTTTCAAGATCACCGCTATTTTATACTTTTTAATTCCATTAGGTGAATCCACTCCCATTCCGGAGATTTACTGGGCTGGGATTCCGCAGGTAAGCTTATAAACTGCTTCCCGAGAGCCCCAGGCCGGGAAAGCCGGCCAACCCTGGGCAGGCCAAGTGCACTGGAGGCTGCAGGTGACTGTGCACAGGTGGCCCGGAACTGGCTTGGAGTGGGGCCCCACGCAGTTCAAGTCCACAAGGCCCACGGCTCTGTGTCCAGCTTGCTCAGACAGCAGGAACTGAGATTCGCTCGCTGGGCGAAGACCACCCAAATCGCAGGCGCTGTAACAGACTCACACCGAGTGGCTTTTCTGACAGGGCTGCTTCCCTGGGACCGGGGAGGTGATGCTGTCCATGCCAGCTTCTGTTGGGATGTCCTGCCCCCAATCCTGCAAGTGATGCCTTCCATCTCCACGCGCAGAGTGGTCCATCGCCCGAGGTCAGCTAAGGAGGTCCCTGGGCACCGCCGTCCCGGCCCGTGTCCCCCCACTGCTGCAGGGACCCGGACAGCTGGCTGCCCCTCTTCCCTTGAAGGAAGTGTCCTCACTGTCCTGGCCTGGCCGGCACCTTCTCCTGTTATACCTGGTTCCTATCAGCCTGCTCAGTGGTCTCGTCCAGGTGACGTCTGTGTTGGTGGCATCATTCTGGGAGTGGAATCCTCCCAGTACTTCTCTCAAGGGGATTCTTTGCCATTGTCAGGAATGGGACTGTCTGGCTACGTTCGTGTACCTGGGACTGCCAGCCTGACCCGAAGAGGGTGCTGCTGGGCTGGGGTCCTGGCAAAGAGCCTCACGACCCTGGGATTTCCTGAGTGACAGGAGGGTCTCTGCTATACTCAGGGCGGTCCCCCAGGTAGCTTCAGGATGGGGGCAGGTCACCGACCTAGTGATTGGACGGCCGGAAGCTTGGACCAGCCCAGGCTCCTGGATGGGGTGGGAGACTGAGTTCCGTCAAGTGGCCAATGATTTAATCAATCATGCCTACGTAATGAAACCCTCATACAAGCTCTGGGCACTGAGGCTGGGGCAGCGTCCTGGTTGGTGAGCCCACGGATGTGCGGGGACAGGAACACGCCTGATTCCATGGGGGGTGGGCATGGAAGCTCCCAGCTCCCTCCGGATCTTGTCCTGGGTACATCCTTTATAATAAAACTAATTGTTAAGTACAGGGCTCTCTTGAGTCTCTGAGACATTCTAGCGAATTATAGAACTGATGGGTCATGGGAACCCCTGAATTTATAGTTGGTCGGTCAGAAGTTCCAGTGGTCTCTGAGACTTCTGGCTGGCGTCTGTGGGGGACAGGCCCCTGGCCTGTGGGGTCTGTGGCTAACCCCGGGAATCGGTGCTAGAGCTGAAGCCCACCCACTGGGTGAACGCGGGCACCGCATCCGAGCCATATATCCCTGGGTCTGGGTCCCAGTCTCAGCTCTGAGTCCAAGGGTGGCACAGTCTTGGGCAAGTAGCTTAACACTGTGGGCCTTCCTGTCTCATCTTCAAGCTGACAGGGTTGGGATCCAATCCAAGACCCCCAAGGTGTGTCTGGTTCTGAAACACTGTGACCACCTGTTCTCCTGCCACTCTTGCGGGAAGCCACCAGGGGCCCCCCTGCCTGGCCGTGCAGAACCTGGCTGCCACCATTCCTCCGGGAGAGCGACCCCTGAGCCAGGGGGAAGCCCGGGAAAGGGCCGGGTACGGAGGCCTGGGCGCCCTGCGTACAGGCAAGGAGGAGAAGCCAAAATGCCCAGCGCAGGAGAGAACACGCGGTTCCAGCTTCAGTCTCTGCTGGGCTTCCCCACATCCCATCCGCAGTCACCCCCAC